GGGGTTAGATTTTAGCATTGACTCAGTGCGAGACAGGTAGGCAGTATGACATCTCTTGTATTCTGCCTTGTAAGAGGCACGAAGTGCGGAAAATTCCGCATAATCAAGGGGACAGCGTGAAGCTTTAAACTTGGCATGTGCCCTCTTCTTGCTTAAAACAATATGCTTAAGATTTTTTGAAAACCATTTCGGGAATGTCGAAGGTATATAAGACACTTCCGGAACAAAGTTTAAAATGCAAAAGTGCAAAGCGTCATAAATTGCCTTAGCCGCTTCGTCAACGTCGAGAGATATTATGGTCTCAAACCAATTAAATGAGTTTAGGAATTCGCATATTTTTGAATAGGGAGCACGGCGGAAGTCATAATAATTATGGGAACGATCAAGTAAAGGGGAGAGTTTATCCAACTTTATCATAATATCAAGAGCCGGGTGGTAGAGATCACAAGGTACTGCTGAAGTTACGGCTTTAGAGATATAGATTCTGTTATCATTGGAGAACACAAGGTCCAAGACAACACCAAAAGAGTTTTGAATATCATTTAGTTGGAAAAAGTTTAAGAACGCAAATGCATCAGGGATACATTGAACTCTGGGATTAGTAACCGTATTGTAAAGTAAACCAAAATCATCATTGGACCATATAATATCTGGCAAATTGAAGTCACCACAAAAAATGAATACACATTCTGGATGAAGGGGAAGAACAGATTGTACAGCGGAAATAAAAGACTCATAAGCAGAAAGCGGGCAATTAGGAGGAAAGTACACTGAGCACACTACATAGTTGATGTTATTATAATTAAATTTAACAAATAGATGTTCAACATTGGTAGCTGGAGTGTAAATTAAATTAGATACTATGTCACTACGAATGGCAATGAGAGCGCCGCCACCTCTGGAAAAATTACTTGTTAAACTATTTCTATCACATCTATAAATGATGTAGTTGGATAGACCAAGTTCACTATCATAGAAGCTGTCACATAGCCATGTTTCAGTGAAACAGATAAAAACATAATCAAAAACAGCGACATTACATTTTAAACTACTTAGTTTGGTTCTTAACCCACGACAATTTTGATAAAAACCTAAGAGAATATGGTTACAAGTAAATAAATCACTACATAAACAATAATCCTTACTATTATAATTATAAGCGTGTATATCAACAGGAGGATCACAGATAGGCGTACATGAAGAAATTAGTTTTTTGGAGTGTCGCTTAGAATCATCTCGGGCGTAAGACGAACCCAAAAGCGTTTGACCATTACGCCATCAGGCCAGAATGTAGGTTCGAGGACTTCATCAAGCTTCTCCGCAGGCAGGCGCACATGGAATGAAGAATATGATGGGTGTTTTGTCACTAATTTATTTATGGTCACATCTGAGTAGCTATTGAACAATTCAGATTCAAGCATAGTGGTCGTTACACACGGCTCAAGTCTTGAGACTAAGATATCAATATGCCTCCGCACTGGCACTGAAGACAACTTGGAGGATACACTTTTATGAGAGCCAACAATAAATTTTGATTTTATGGACGAGGATAAATTAGTAGTCGATTGGATTGCAGGCTGTCTAGAATGAGTATCCGCATTCAGCTTGGAGAGTAAAGTAGTTGGTAGATTGTTTGAACCAGTGTTTAAATTAGGAGAAGTGGTAACCTTAGCAGTCGTATTGAGACGGTTTAGCTTATCATGTAACTTAGAGTTACTAAGTGCTACAGATTTGAGCTCATCGACAACAGATTGAAGAATAGTGGCCACATTTAATGAGTTCTCAGAAGATAGCGATGTAGGGTTAGAAGAAGATCCTTTTAAGAATGTTGACAATTCCTCGCTCAATTTCACCCCAGTAGGTAGTGATTGAGTAATAATGAAGTCAACGAGCATACTTTTTGTCCACTTATTCAGCTCAGTAGAAAGTAGATCATTACTTTGGGCCATTGCGTTAAACGACTAAAAGTTTAATATGTAAAGATGTTATTGTTGCAATAAAGATGTTATTATTAAAAAAAAAAAAAGTATTTAGGAATAGTTTACTGTTAACTGCAACCATACTACTATCAGTTGTGAAAGTTTTCACTCAAAACTAAATATGTCATTCTACACTAGTCAATCCTTAAAGTATATAACTTTGTAGTCATTGTGTTATTTGGAATTCAGTCTGAAACATACATCAAATTTCTAAATCAAAAAAAATTTGAGACAATTGTGTTTAAAATGAGCTTAAACAAAAAGAAATAGGGTAGTTTAATTTCATTAAACCATTAAGAATTAAGTTTTTTCCAAATCAATGATCTAAAATTAAAATTAAAAAATAGATTACGACTTGCCTACCATTTTTTATTTAACACTCGCTGTCAACAAAATATAAATAATAAAAACAACAAGTATTTTTAGGAAACGTCACAGTCAATCTCATACAGAATGACAATTATTATGTGCAGGCAACTCGTACTTGATTTAGGAATCTTACCACAAATCACAATACACCACCCCCGAAATATACTCATGCAGGGATTTCCATAAGTCTGCCATCATGCTATCAACTGCGCATGCCACCAATGTGATTTTTATAGCTTAATAAATTCGTTAAATATTCATTAATGTTACCAAGCTCGGGGCATTTTTAAGTAGTAGGGTATTAGAGTGGCTATAAAAAATAAAAATACTAGAAAACTGTAAGAACAAAAAGAGCATCGATATATAATGAGGACACCGCTCTTTAAAAATCGAAAACAAAACCGAAATATTAATATTAATATTACCGATTATTTAATTATTGTTATAATGTATAAATAAACATTATATTTTTTCTTTATAATTTGCAGTTCTTACGACGAATCTGGAGAAGACAACGACGGCGACGACGACTACTACTCGGTGGACGGTTTCATATCGATTCTTTTTTTGGTGATGTTTGTATTATTGTATCCAAGTTTATATCTATATTGTAATAAGAGCAAAAAAACCAACTGGTTCTATTTGCAAACTAAAAGCTGCAATTGTAGGGCAAAATATATTCGCTGTTAACGTCGCTCATACAAAGCTTAAATAATTAGGCTTATGGTAAAATAAATGCCCACCTTAGGGAACCCTGATGTTACATTTATAGCTGACGAGATAAAATGACCTAATTTTTCCCCCTGTGTTCCAAGATATTCAAGTATAATAATTGTATAAATTAGGCAAATTGAACAAATTTTTCCCAAAAATACATTTACATTCTAATTTATTTATCAGGATAAATAAGTCGACACTATCAAATGCTTTTCTAATGTCGGTGTATGTACCGATATATCGGCCTATATAATTAACTATAAAATAGTCAGTATAATGGCCTTATAGTTTATTGGTTATTATTGTTGACTTCACATGATGAAACCGGCGTTGTTGCTCTGAAATTACTTCATTAAATACGGATGTAAATTTTTGTACTAACATTTCTTCTAATGTTTTGGACTATGTACTGAATTAAGAAACAGGACGACAGTTAAGTAACAACATTTCGATTATCTGATTTAAATACTGAGTAGATGAAACTAGTAACTAAGTATTATATTTTCAGATCTAGGACAATCGGCCCAGACAATTGGTCCCCGTCATAATTTCATACACGGAAAATTGGTCCCCGGCTTAAAAGTTAAACACAAAATAATTTTTTAACATAAAACATTCTCATATAATATAATTCAAATTCTCGTGACACTGAACTGAATTTTGAATTGTTTTTATCACAGCTTGTTCGAAATCAATCGAAATCACTTTAACCGAAGAACAATATTTTTTTAATACCAAAAGCATTTCTTTATAGGTTTCTTTTGTTTTTTTTTTGTCAGTAATACGTACACTATCGGTAAACTTTTCCCCCCTATTTAAGCATGAACAACATATACTTGATAGAAACCTCGTGGACAGGTTGCAAAAGCGCCATCCATAAATATATGTTTTGATGATGATAAAGATTTTAAACATAGCTGTGAAGCAAAAACTAAAATTCTATTCTTATTATTTTTGTTGTCATAAAGAAGAAATTGCTGTGGATCTATTCCACCGGTAGTGGCCAATTTTGAATTGTCCAAGTTTAATTCATTTATTGATTTTAACTTTGGGTAAATATTACTACGAATTCATCTTAAAGATCGTTTAAAATTATTCTCAATAGGTATTTGTTTCCTACCTTCTTCAGATAAATTCATTACATTTTTCGAATAAATTCTAGATGGCCGGTAAATTTAAATTTTCTTGAGCGTCTTGTTTCATTTTGCAAATGGCTCGTTCCGCTTCCAAAACACCCGAATTAGTTTCATGATTATGTGGCCCAGATTTAATTACATGTTGTAAATCATTATCGGTAGTAATACTACCATTGCATTCGTTTTTATGAACACACACCCAACGTTTGCTATTTTTAACGTTTTTGGAAAATATGTATATTGTATTTTATTGAATTTTTGTTTCCCCCCTCACATACGGCCTTGGGGTAACGGTCCAATATGCGACCTACACACTGATTTACGGTCCAATATGCGACCTACACACTGATTTACGGTCCAATATGCGACCTACACACTGATGGTTCAATACGTGTAAAATACAAATAATTTTAATTTTTAACTAACCTTTTTTTCATTCCACTTCTCAGTGTCGTCAATAACTATATGTATTGTTTTTCATTCCACTTCTCAGTGTCGTCAATAACTATATGTATTGTTTCAGTCTGTATTGTTATGAAACGTATTTTTCATATCAGTCAAAAATGCATCAAAAATGGTTTTTGGATTTTGACACGATCTCCACCACTCTTCTTGGAGTTGTCGATCTAGTAAAGGAGACGCCCCATTTTTTTTAATATTATATTTGGATTTCACAATTCTCCATAAGCCTTCAATTTGTTGAGTGTGTGCTCCTGTTTCCGGGTCAATAAAAAATTCTGAATGGTTAACTGTTAGATGAATATATCCATGATGATTTAATGTTGAGTACGCTCTCCATTGGTCACTATAAATTGTCGTTCCAGTTTTTATTTCATTTTTAATAATTTGTAAAAGAGTTTCTCGATCCCATTTTTCTACTATAAAAAATCGCCGTTCTAATAATAAGTCTGGCCGTTTCCAACAAATTCCAAATACCCATGGGCCTACTATACGATTCCCATAATTTTTATTTGTACGTACTATTTCATTTTCATCAGAATCTTCGTTGCTGGAATTACTTATTTCTCTTAATGGCTGATGGTCCCCACGCTGTAATCAACCACGGTTATACTTCCTTTTACCCTGAAAAAGGGATTCGTCAATTTGGACAGTACAACCAGGACCACCCATTTTCTCTCTTTTTGAAAAACAATATACTGGTATATCTCTGCATAAATTATACCAATCAATTATAGTGTTTTTGCTTCTTCTAGTCCAATTTACAGCTTGATTTATTGGAACTAAATTAACCCAGAACCAAACTATTTCCATTATTTCACATAATGATAGCTGACTATTACAACGGCCGTTAAGATCCGTGTATGTAAAAAAGTCACTATCTTTACGAATCGATTGGTAAGTTTGGCAAAACCGTTTTGTACATCGTAATGTTACAACTCTTTTCATAGTGCCATCAGAATTTCGTTTTTTACTACTTCTTAAATATTCCACAAGTTGGCCATTACATACGACACCGTCTTTCACCTTTATACATGTCATCGGATTATCAGCCAGTAATAGCCCTCGGTCTTTTAAATATTGAACACATACCACTTCATCTCTAATAATGTTCCTATATAGGTGACCAATAGTAGATGTCATGTTGAGTTTGAACAAAAAAATTCACACGCACAAAATAAAACTTAAATAAAAAATCACAAAACAAGCGCACGACACATACGAATGAAATCGGAACTGTACTAACTGAGGACAGTAAAGTATTATAAAAGATTGTAAGTAGGTATACCTATCGGAGAACAAAAATAAAATAAAATAGAATAAAATGCCCATAATGACAATTATCGCGATAAAGAAACCTGTAGATCAACTCAATCTTATCGGTAGGTCGAGGAACATTTGTAGGTCGCATATTGGACCGTTACCGGCCTTGGTTAATAATAATAAAAATAAAATATTAAATAACATAAAATATTACCGGGGACCAATTGTCCGCGTATAAAATAATGACGGGGACCAATTGTCCGCATGCCGCATTTTTTCGCGGGGACCAATTGTCCGGGGACCGATTGTCCGTTTACCATATTTTCGAAATTCATATTATTGTGTCTAATTTTAACATACTTTTTATACAACTATTTTGTGTACAGAGTTTATACGTTGTAAAAATAAAAAAAAGTTTTTGAGAATATTTCTATAAAGGTATTTTATCATAATAATAATAAATTAATAACACACAACAAAACTTCTTCCCCAAATCCCTGTCACTGAGCCAGTACTATATACTCGGTAGACGGTTTCATATCGATTCTTTTGTTGGTGATGTTTGTATTGTTGAATACGAGTTAGATCTCTATTGTAATAAGAGCAAAAAACCAACTGGTTTTATTTGCAAACAAAAAGCTGCGTTGTAGAGAAAAAGATATTTAAAAAATATTTTGTTACCTATGTACTACTGTATTTTGATATTTTGCACAGTATTTTTAATGTTTTGTACAAAATAAAATATGTATTTAAAAAAATTTTCGTTATTTTTTCGATATTTTTTGAGTCGCCGCTTATAGTGATTTCCGGTTATAGTGATCAAAATACTCTCGGACGGATGTGATCATTATAAGCGGCGACCACTGTATTATCTACTTTATCATTTTAAATCAATTATATGCATACCTATTATATGTATAACTATAATATGTGTAAGAAACAACCTTTGTTCATTATTGCCGTCCGATAACATCGAATAATTGCTCGTAAGTGTAAATTATAATAATATCGATAGTAATTGTACTATCGGCAAGTGTTATAATATTACCCCTTCTACAATGAGACTACTATTTACACTGACCATTTTGAATCTATAGAGCTTGTCTTACCATCGGTTATCGCGTTTACCAAGTACATTACCATCGGTGATTGAAATTCACGTAACGTATTTTTTCACAATGATAATAACCGTCTAGTTTATACCGGCGATCGCACGGCTCTGTTCCATCACAAACGCTCACCAACACTATTTGATTATAATCTAATTGGCGCTAAAATCAACGTGATGAACGAGATTAAGGATCTTAGTATAATTCAAACGCCATATAGAAACCATTTGTGTCAACGCTTTTAGAAATTTTTCTAAAGTTTAATTTTTAAGTGAGTTATGGGCATTTTTAATTTACGCTATATTATATTACACACAACTTGCTAAAAAATTATAAAACTAACAATTGCAAAATACCAACATAGGAACACAGATAATGTTCTTTCCAACAAGTTTCATTATAAGACGAGTCACTCTAATTTTTGAATTAACGAAGATAAACGAGATTTTCCGAGCGTAAATTTAGTATGTTACGCACTTGTGAGACGGAGACAACACATGCGGGTGTGGAGGTCTCTTAAACAAAATTGTGTGATCTACATAATATTGCCGAAGTCGAGAACCAATGTAAAATATGCCCTCTAGGATGAAGGAGTGATTACATTGACTCTCTTTTTTTAAATAAGCTATTAAATGACACTGACAACTGCCCTGATCTCTTGAGTCTCATTGACCTTAGAACACCCTCAATTAATAATAGAAATAATTCCCATTATATATTACACCGCATAATCACAATTGTGTTCTCCATCTCCATAGTAACATCGGTAGGATTCCACATTATTGTAATAACATTCTACATTATTGTGTAACCTATCTGACTTCAATTTCTTTTTCGATGATAATCGTAAGTTGAAAAACTGTTACTTTGTTTTTAGATTACTGTATTATGTTACTTGAAAATGCACTTTTACTAGCTTTTTACTTATTCATATTATGTAATAAATAAATAAATAAATAATAGTATTTAGTAAATAGTAACAATACTTCAATTTGCATTACCAGTAACCTTATGTAATAAAAGTTATAAGCCAGCATCGCATCATGCGTCGTGACAGTAAATATTTTAATTTGTCCATAGTTGGATTATCCGAAACCAACAAATCAATAAAAGTATTACACTAAACATGTAACATACCGTCATAACCTGCGTAAATATTTTACATTAAAAATAAAATGTAATATAGTTATACATAGAGCTCATAGTATAATTTTGTCGAAGTGTCTGTGCTGTATAACAATAATGAAAAACAATAAAAATCAATAAACAATAAAATAATAAAAATGATAATAACGTTAAAAAAAAAATTATTCAATATTACGGTCTATTGAATGAGTTATTTTATAAAAAGTCGTAAAAAATGGAATGGTATTAGTTATTAATGAAGTGGACTCTTGCCTTTTACCATACAGGAAACAGGAACAGTTATGGTATTGCTTAATATGCAAATAATATTTTATATCGCATTATATCTCGACAAACTCGTGGAGTCACAATAGGTACTATAACATTATAGCTCTAGGTCTCTATCCAAATCTCGTATAGAAACATAGTGCCTAATGTTATACAGACGTTATTTATTTTATTTTATATTAGATATAACGCCCTCGAGGGCAGAGAGCACCAACAGTACATAAAACATAGGTTGGAAATAACATAGTAAAGAAATAAACTAAAAAAACAAGTAACGACTGTTTCACCTTACAACCTTACTATCATCAAAGAAAACCACTAAATATGCAAAATGAAATTGAAAGTATCTATTTTATTGATTTATTCTATGCCATACAAAACGAATTTACAACAAGTTTTTAAATCTATTTACCTAAGTTTAGTTGATTAATATCAGGAAAATTTTAATAATGAAAAAAAAACGAATTTATAACTTGGACTGCAATGTGCACGACTGAAATAAAAAATGTGCGAAACTGAGAAAGTGACCGACCACGACTACAAAAATAATATAGCTGAGATAAGTCTCTATGGCAGTGGTTCTTAACCGGTGTTCCGCGGAACACAGGTGTTCCGTGGACTTCGTTTAAGTGTTCCGCCAAAATTTTAAAATCAGTGAAAAAAAAATTCTTTCAAAATAGAATCATTTTAGGTTTTGTTGGTTTATTTTTGTACACAAAAACGTTATCGTTAACTTTCGAATAATATAATGTGTCAGTATACTATATAATATATTAATATACATTATTATTATTATATTATACGATAATCCCCACCATACTGCGATAACATACGTATAGATATTTGACAATTTTATTTTCTGCACTAATAAAAGTTATAAAATACATTAGTATTAGTACGTTGCCCACGGTTATCAACGTTAGACGCGTGTACAACTTCATAAATAAGGATTCTGTTATTTTTTAAGTAATTACAATTTGAAATTTATTTAGTTAATTAATTTAATTTGTAACGACCATTTTAATAACAAAATGGACAAATTTCTTAAACGGAAACATGATTCTGGTACTGATAATGCAAGTACAAATACAAGCAATGTCAATGATGATACTTTCAATGATGAGAATAAAATAAAAAAGGTCAATAGACAATATTGCAACGATTATTTAAATTTTGGGTTCACTTATGTTGACGAAAATGATTGTCAAATTCCCCTTTGTGTGGTTTGTGGGGAAAAGTTGTCTAATAGCGCAATGACGCCAGCGAAATTAAAACGGCATTTTTCATCTAAGCACGCCAATATCCAGTCGAAAGAAAAAAATTATTTTGAAAGGTTGTTGAATAATCAAATGAATCAAAGAAAACATTTTAAAAAAATTGTAACAATATCTGATAAAGCACAAATCGCATCTTATAAAGTTGCCGAAATAATTGCAAAACAGTTAAAACCACACACCATAACAGAGAGTTTGATTTTACCGGCATGTTCAGAAATAGTTCAAATTATGTTTGGCGATGATGCAAAAAAAGAAATTATGAAAATTCCGCATTCAGACGATACAATAAAAAACAGAATTATACACATGTCAGATGATATTGAGAAAACTGTCACTAACAAGCATACTACTAATAAAATATATTTCGCTTTGCAAATTGACGAGTCTACTGATATCAGTGGTATAGCTCACGTACTAGGATTTGTTCGTTTCATTGATGAAAATAAAATAGTGAATCAATTTTTATGCTGTAAACAACTTACTGAACGTACAACAGGACAGAATGTTTTTGATTCAATTTCGTCATATTTAGATAAATTTAACATAACATGGGACCAATGTGTAGGAATCTGCACCGATGGAGCTCCTTCAATGGTTGGTTCTATTAAAGGATTTACAACATTAGCGAAGAAAAAAAATCCTAATATCATATCTACACATTGTTTTTTACACCGAGAATCACTTATTTCGAAAACATTACCTATTACATTAAAGTCTGTATTGGATAAAATTGTAAGCATGGTTAACTACATAAAATCGCGTCCATTACAATCACGCCTATTTAAAAAACTGTGTGAATCTTATGGCTATTCATCAGCATAAGGAGACTATTAAATTCGATAAAGCAATTTATGTAGGATTCGCAATTTTAGACGTTTCAAAAACATTTATGTATGACTTTCATTATAATGTAATGAAGAAAAAATATGGTTCTAAAATTACTTCTTTATATTCGGATACTGATTCCTTAATATATGCTATACAGACAACAAATTTTTTCTATGATTTAAAAAATAGTTTACTACCATATTTCGATACATCTAATTACCCTAAAGACCATTATTGTTTTAGCGAAATACATAAAAATCAA